AAAAAAGCAAGAATTTTAAAGACCCTGTCATATAATATCTTCGATGTTTTAATAAAAAAAATTGAATAAATAACAATTACAATATTAATAAAATAAAAATTATTACTTTATGATATAAAATTTCAAACATCATTTTTTTGTTTTTAAAATAAAAAACAAGAACGAACTTATAAAAACAACTAAATGGTAATTATGTTAGACCGCTACTCGATGATGATTGTTTCTAAATATTTTATTTGTATTGCCGATTTTAAAAATGGTATAAATACGTAAAAAAATTTTTAAGAGATTCCACAAATGTTTCATTTCAATCCAATTTCAGTTTCATCGAAAACGCATAAGTGTTTTCCAAATGTTGAGACTCTCTATTTCTATAATGTAAACGACAAATTTCTTTCAAAATACAAACAGTACTATGTACATTACACGGTTCCTCTCTCTAAATATTACAATTTAATTAAAGGCTGACATGTTATATGTCCTTTAAAAGCATATTCTTGTAAAGATGTTTACAGCTATTCTTATAAAAAGGCAACTGTTTTTATGTACGATACGTTTAAAGGCGATTATGGAAATATCACTGCAATGGATTGCACAAACACAATAAATTTTGGACTTCGTTGTTTCATGTACAATAATTTATTAATTGCAATAACACTGTCGTGTAATTTGCGTGAAATTCCAGACATCTGTTTCCAAAAATGTAAAAAAATCAAAGAAATTAATTCGGAACACATTAGAGTGTTTGGGGAGTATTGTTTTGCGTACTGCAAAAGTCTAAGTGCTCTTACTTTGGGCACAAACATCATTAAAACCGCGAAAAATGCATTTGTATATTTAACTTCAATTCAAAATGTTACGGCGCCCGGAGTCAAGAAAGTTGACTTTGATGTAACAGCATCTTCCTCGAAGGCATTTCTTGATATAAAAAATAAAATTATAACAACACAATGTGATGTAAACAACAATATTTTGCCAGCCTTTTTATCGGAAGAAATTGAATGTTATTCGTTTAATAATAGGAGCGGACTATCCGATATAAATGTTGCAAACACTGTCACTTGCATTGCTGATAATTCGTTCTCAAGTTGTGATATAGAGCCACTTAATTTGTCGTATGTAACGCATTTTGGATCTCAACGGAACATGACGCGTCTAACTGCAATAACATTAAATAGTCATGTCACAATAAACAATTTATACAAATTTACTGGACTTAAAAAAATAGATGCTATTAACACCAAAAAAATAAACGTGAAGGCTGCGTGCTGGATGAAAGAAATGTTAGACAAGAAAAGGCTTGAAGTTAAGGAGTTTTGTTACACTCAACAAGATGTGGATAATTTTAAAGGTATATTTTTTTAAACTACACAAATTTGGAAAACATATTATAATACATAAACTTTGAAAATTACAAACTTGAAGAAATTGTTATTCCAGAAGGAATTACTTCCATGAGTTATTATAGTTATCGAACAAATAAAAATCTGAGAAAATTTGTATTTCCAAAGACTCTTATATATTCTAGTGTTTCTCATATCATACATTCGAGTCTTGAAGAACTTTGTGTCATTCCAAGTCCACACTTAAAAATATCAAAATATTACAAACTCACGTCAGTTACTTTTTCTTAGCCAAGATGTCACAAACTTTCGTATGTTTGACAATTGTTTTAATATCAAAAACATCGAATTTCCCGATATTCGATCCAATTTTGTTTTCAAAGGAAGTATCGATTACACTATTTACAAAGTATTGAAAAATAAATACTCTTTTGGAGGTGATGTTGTACTTTATTCAATTGATCCAAAATGGATCGGCACAAATAATGTTTTAAAATTCCAAATGATGTCAATGTGATTGAGGTGTATAATTTTGGATTAACCAATTTAGAAGAAATTTGGATAGGTGATATTGTAAAGTCAATTAGTTCATATTATTGTCGTGAAAACATAAATTTGAAGCGCGTGAGAAACATAAAAAGATCCGTTGACATACGAAGATTAAACAATTGTATTAAAACACGATGTGGTAATTAATTACGTTGATTAAAATTTAAAAAATTAAATATTATTATTGTTTTAAACATCATAAATTGTAATATATTATTCAAAAAAATATATGCATACTTTTCATTTTGTTGTAAATTTATAAGTAGAGCAGTGTTTAAAAATATGGTAAATATGTAATGAAATGTGTAACATGTATTTGATCATTTTAATATAAAGTTTTAGTTCATTCCAAAAGTGTTTATTATTAAAATAAATTTTTTTTTATTTTAAAAAATATTATTATATAAATAAAAACTATTTATGTAATACAAAATTATACAATTAAATTTGGTTTATAATACTAATAGTATAAATAGCTTTAAAGATTTAATAATTTGACATAATAGTGTTAGTGAATTTATTAGTGTGGTTTTGGATTGGGAGAACCATCTCTCTTCTTCCTTCTAAAAGACTGTTTAAAGCTTGTGTATTTTCTTCCAAGCCGAGAAACGGGTTTTGGGGAAGTTACTAATAATGTCGAAAATGTGGCTCCTTGTTCAAAAGAACCATCATCATCTGTAGCTGCTCTTCGATGCTCCAAAGCTGTGCCTGTTTTTAGAAATCTTTCCTCTTAAATTAAAGATACTGATAATGCATTTGGTAAAGACTGTAATTTGTCTCGTAAGTTGACAAGAAAGGCAGAAATTAGTCTTTTGCAATCTCTTGAAACTTGTTCATCTCTGAGAAAGGGGGTTGGTTTTAATAAAACGACCATCTTTAGTTGTAATCCAAGAAACCGTCTTAATAATTCAATACAATCAAAGGCTATGTGTTTAATATTTTGTTGAGACTGAGATAAAGTTGGTAACACTTTTTCAAAAAGTGGATTGAGTTGATATTACCATTTACTCATCACATTAAATATTATTGTTTCATAACTTCTGGAGAGTTATAAAGAGTAGAATCTTTTCATAAAAATAACAAAGTCTGGACCTTCCAAATGTTGGTTTGATGTATATACCCTCATTAAATCCAGTTTTTTCCTTTCAATTGAAATTAAAAGTTCGACATCTTGTATAAAAATTGTATCAATATCTCCAGAATACTGTTTAACAAAATATATTAATTTTTCAAGATTTAAAACCATAAATCTTATTTCACTTTGAGTTTCTATAATGATAGTTTGTGTGTTTTTTATGATTCCCCATCCAGAAGCACCTTCCTCTTGTTGTAGTTGCTGTTCTGGTTGTGATAAACAGAGGATAAATAAACACGTGAACAAAACAACATTCATTATATTTAAAAAATCAAGATCATGTTAAAACTTTTAGGTTGAAAATAAAAGTTTTGTTAAGTTGTCAACTTTTTTCGTGCTTTTTGTTTTATTTGTTTTGTTTAATTTGATATTATAATTTTTGTTTTCATCTGTCGTTATAATTAGAATTAAGAAAAAACCAAAAACATTTTGCAATGACCACTTAAAAATGAAACAAACCTATATACACAATTGGTCTTTTTTAAATTACCTTTAAAAATTCAAATGTAGTAATTTTTGCAAAAAAAACTATTTAAAACGTTTTTTATTATAATAAAATATAACATCTATTAAATTATTATTTATTTACTTTATTTTTGTTTAAAAAAACTATTTGTTATGTATAACAATAATTTTTTGACAAATTAACAATTTTATGGTCATTTTTTGAATTTATATAATGTTAACTTAAAAATTATATTTTATTAAAAATATTTAAAAATATATTATTATCAATTAGAAGAAAAATTTGTCTTCAAAAGAGTTAATTTTTGTTGAATAAATTATTAATATATTGACATCAAATTAATATAACAATATAAAAATACTTGTTAATTTTTCGATCATATATTGATGAAGATATGTTATATATATATAAAACAGGTTTTAAATGTAAATTATGTTTATCAATAAGTAGTAAAGGGGTGGAAAAAAACCGCTTTTGATAATTTAATAGTAAAATGATAATATGATTATAGTTTTTTGTATAGTTTATTTTTTCCTTTTCTTCGATTTGATTCAAAAAACAAGGTTTACAAGAGTCTCTCTGACTTTTTTAAGATGCAGATGTTTGTTATTGAAATTTGTGAATTATTTTTTATGTAAAGTAAAGGCTGGATTTGCCGAACGATAAAAGGAGGAGCAATAATATTGACGTCGAAACTGTTCTTTGAGGTCAAAACAACCCAAAAAAATCTTAAAATTAATATAATTAAGTGAAAAAATAATGAACTTTTTATTAAATATTTTTTCATTTTTTTGCAGAAATAAAAAACTCAAAAACACTAACCCGCGAGTGTACCTTTTTTCACACCCCCTTTCACTCCTTTATAATTTTTTTTCATTTTTTTAATCATCCATTAAACAAATACTCAACAGTCAAATCTATTACCTCTCGAGCAACACAGTAAATATATAACCTAGCACACGTTTTTGATACACCACTTTTCAATGTCTCTCAGCAAAGACAGACTGCACATTTATTTCACACCCCTCTTGTTGGATTCCTCATTCGCCCAGAAATGCATTTCACTGCCAAACTGAAAAAACGCACTTTGGACTTACTCACCAACTGAACGTGAGTGCATCCATTCTCAGCGGTTTTTCAAGTGCTTGTCAAGCATGCGATAAATGACTCGTTATTTCGTTGTACTTGCTTTTTTGAAACTTTTTATAAAATAAACGAAGTAATTTTTTAATATTGGTCAATAAAAACAATGTAAGACGGATAATTTTGTGTAAATTATCAGAAGCGGTAAAAGGGCGCTGCACATGTCCGTTATAATTTCTTGAGTTTTTTTGCTTTTTTACAAAAACCTCAATTATTTGAGGCAAATTGATACTTTGGTTATAATTGTGTGTAATTGTATCAGTAAATGGTAGTAAAACGGTTTTTCCCGCAGTGCAGAAAAATGTTAAAAAAGACTGGGAGGATACTGTGGACGATCCGAAAGTGCGGCAATCATTTCTGTATGGTGAATAAATTTAAGTTTATTGTGTGTTTTTGTACGTTATTCAATACATTTGGTTAAAAAATATTTGTATGCCGAGAAAAAACACACTATTTTTTCACATTTTTAAAAGGCAATATTTAATTATTGGATAAGTTTTTATAATAAAACAATAAGAATTTGGTTACGAAAAGACAAAAAAGATCTAAAGCGGTTCTTCATACCGTATTATTTTTTATTTTAAAACTCGGCAAAATGCCAAAAAACGTTATTTTTCTATACAATAAAACAAGTAAATAAAAGTGAAGCGGTTTTTCCCGCCAGCCAAAATGCTTGCTCAAAAGTGCATTTCAATAAAAATTGTTGAAAACATCATGGAGACAATGACTGTTATAAGCCCAATACGTTATTAGAAATACATGGTGCCAAAGTGAAAGTTGAATTGTTGTTTATCTTAAATGGGTTCTTATTCCTTTATCCACTAATTATTAAATAATGATATTCAACAACTTTCTTACTATTTGATGGACTATATTGTTCATTTTATTACAGTAAATATATGTAACATTTTGGGATTTAAGCACATACTTTTATAAAGAAGAACAAAATAACTAAAAACATTAATTATTTTATTATAATTTATACTATAATTTGTTTCAAAAATTGATCAAATGGTGGGTCTGAAAAGTAATGAAAACTACTCAACACTTATATAGTTCAAAAGAGATACACAACGACAACCACGGCTTCGATACGTTGTGTCAAATGAATCAATTCATGTTCATTCTATTTGGATTTGAGCATAAATAAAATGATAATTATGGTTTTTATAATTATTTAATAGTAAATTTATTAATTTTATTAGTAAATTTTAGGTGCAGATATGGTTAAATTATAATAATTAATAGTTAATTTATTAATTAATACAATTCCATTTTTATCTTTCGCAATGTCATTAATTATAATACAAATCATAGATTGACAATAGATTAAACATTTAAAAACAGAATTATTTTTCATTTGACAATATCCAAGCAAAATAATTACATAATGCTCTAACTTTACTAATGATCATAATTTACTTAGTTGGTATTGTTTTATCGCAAACATGATCTAGAAAAATGCAAGTTCTTTTTTTTACCAATTATAAAGGTTTATAAGGAGATCTCCAAAAGCGACGATATCAAATTATCTCGTTCATTGCAAGGTCAAACAGTTTGTTTATTATGTTTAACATCATCAAAACCACGACAATGATAACTTAGACTTGAACTCATGTGTTTATGAAGACAAAATAAAGCACAAAAACAACAATGACAAAAAGACTTAATTTAAATTACTTTGAAAATAAGAAAGATGATGATGATGCAGACTGCAAAGATGATAATT